TTTTTTGGCTTCCACGTTTAAAGCAGCAGTGATAGGTCGTGAAGGATCCAACGACTTCGTATAGTTTGATAGAATTCTAAAAAATATTGGATGCTCAAGAACATTAACTGAGAAAATTTAAGTTCGGGGTTAAATACTTAAAGTAATTATCAGCCTGGGAATGAGAGGAGCGGGGTTCGTTTGCTATGGACCACATAACTACGCTTGCATGGTTGCGATCGCGGTGTATTAATTGTTCCAGGGAGGATTTATGATTTCGTAACAGCAACTGATCGAAAATGCTGAAAAGTTTGTATTGTTAGAATCTCGAACGTACTAGTATTATATTGTATTGTAGATTGTATTTATGGGTCAACCAGCCACGGACGGAGCGCCCTTCCGTACTTGCTGTCCGTATCCACATCAAATTGCTGTTGATAGAGAAAAGCAACGCCAACGTCATCGGCATGCGGTGCTGAGTTTTCGTTAACATGAAAATCTCATAAGTTAGGTTGTTGTTGTTGTTGTTGTTGTTGTTGTTGTAGCGGATACAACAACCCCGCCCAGTTGTAGGTCGTGTCGGTGGCTGGTTGAGCTCTTATTAGGGGCAATAATATTTTACTCTGCATTTACGCCCGAACACTCATTTATGATCATAAAGCCATGTTCATCTGCGAACTGCATAGATTCTTCTGAATACGGATAATGAGAAGTACGGTATGCGTTAGCTCCAATCCATTTTAGTAAATTGAAATCACGAATCATAAGTGCAAAGTCAAGCCCCTTCCCTCGAATCTAAACAGAAAAAGAGAAAATTCATGCAAAAAGAAAATCCGAATTAATATATCTCACATCTGAGTCCTCATGTCGTCCAAAACCACGCAAATATATGGGGGCATCATTTAAAAGCAAAGTAGAATTATTCCATTTTAATGTACGGATCCCAATTTTCATACGATATACATCCAGCAAAGAATCGTCCACAGCGTGTAAGTATATTTCTATGGTGTATAAATAGCCATGCTCGGGATTCATTAGGTAAGGCCACCATGGCATAACATCCTTTACGATCATCGACCCATTAAAGGCGTTTTTGGATACACTATGAGCTACTATTTTTCCTTCTTTGTTGCGCAACTGCGCATGAATATAAAGAGGATCAATAGGTGGATCATAAATTACAGTCTTTTTGTCGTTACCATTCACTCCCACTTCATAATGCACAATACCTGACCAAAACCGTTCAGTTTTTATTTGAACAAAAGCTATAAATACATATGTAACTGCTTACCGACATGGTTTTGGGTCAAATCGGTTGAGACTTTGATTTCCTCAATGTAAACGGACGGTGTGGTATATAAATGAACCGTTCGATGAATTCCTGCATAATTGAAGAAATCAAAGGTGTACTGCTGAACTATTACCTTTCCGTAATCACTAAGGATAAGTTATCTTTATTTATATTTGCAACAAAAAAAGCAGATTCAGCAAATACTTCTCCTCTTCGACTATTGTTCCTTGTGGTATCGTGGAATTCAAAAGTGTGTTGTCGCATAAGACCGTTAATCTATTTTCAGAAGCAAACTTCAGTACACCTGTTATTTCCGCCTCAAAGGGCAAGTGTCCAATTGCATGTGACATAACTTTTTGCCCGTTAACCCACTAAGAGAATAAAGATGTATTAGAAAATCCGAGATATATGTACATATGTATACAAATCGTTCTTGTACTAAACGACTGTGATAACTGAAAAAACCAAATTTTATGGGCTTCATATTGTGACAATTTGCATATGTTTTTTGAAAATAGAAAGATCAACCGCGTCCGTTTTTTAGTTATGACAGGCTTGTAGTAAATGAACGATATACATATGTACATGAACATATGTATATCGTACAAGTTCTTCAAAAGCGTATTATCTCAAAATTATCCATTATTCAGATAACGAAAAATACTTTAAAAGCGCCCTTTACCTTAAGTTTTTTGCACAATAAATTGTCAGTTTTTATATATTAAAAATTACAATTTTTTAATGCACTTTTGATGAACGTGTACGATATGTACATATTAGAGGGCTGCGCAAATGGTTTTACTTTTATTGTATACTATTGCACACTTCAGTAAATGCAGCAATGAAGAAAATGCACTTGACAATAAATGAAGTGAAACTCAATGCTTGCTCGCAATCAAACTAAAACTGTAGTATCGCTGCTGGATATCGTTACTTGTTTGCTTACTGCAAATAGTGATTTACACACACGCGTTCCGGCGGCAGTCGAGTCTACGTAACCGGAACGACCCAGATTTATTTATGTATGTGCATATATCTGGGTCAAGGACTGTCACTCCAGCTGCACTCCCCAAAAACCCTTTGGAGATTTTGTATGCTGCTACAAAAACAACAAAATTTACACTAATTCAGAAAAATAATGGAGTAGTACAGCGAGAGCGGTAAAACAATTGGGTGTGCAATAAACGGTAGCAGTTTACATGTTCAATATTAGTCATTTTGTGTTAGTATCGTTATTTTAATAAAAAACACACATACATATATCGTTTTTTTTAATTTAATAATCTGCCATCTTCTCTATCAAAGAATCCAAAGTTAAGAATAATTGGGGTAAGTTGCTGCTAAGTTTAGGTAACATACACACTTTGCAATTATGCATAGATAGCATTTTACTACACGCGCTGCATAACTAGAGTAGTGCTTGATGTTTTATTACAGTAATATTTTGTTGAAGCAAATTTTGATTCACTATTTGCAGTAGTCCGTCTTTCACAGTATTTGAAAGCTCTGAGGAAGCGAAATGTTTTGATTTAAAAGCTTTTATGCAGCCCTCTAGTAAATATGCGTACACACTTATTGCCAGTTAGGCATACTTAGCGTTGCATGAGAGTTGTCACATAAGAATGTATACAAATCTGTTGGGTTTTGATTTTTACGTAAACATGGTATAGCA